GCCGCCGTAGCCGCCGCTGCTGCCGCCGTAGCCGCCGCTGCTACCACCGTAGCCGCTGCTGCCGCTGTAGCCGCCATAGGAAGACGAGCTACCGCCGTAGGAGGACCCGCTGCTGGACGGAGGGGCGCCGGAAGAGCCGGAAGAGGAGGAGGGGGCACTGGAAGAGGAAGAACTGCCACCGCCGCGAGTGATGCCGGCCGAGGAGGCACCACCACTGTAGTGGCTGCTGCCAGAGGGGCCCGAGTAGCCATACGCGGGAGCACTCTACGGGCCGGCCCGGAGAGAGGAAGAGAGGGGCAGGAGGCGGAGGGAGGAGGGAGAAAGAGAAGGACAAAACGAGAGCAGATTGCAGGGGGGATGAAGTGCCCAATCAAAGCATGAGTGTGAGTTAAAGTGAGCAAGCGGCAGGAGAAGGATAGGGAGAGGGGGGGGGTATTATAAAGGGAAGGGGGAGGCGATCCTGCTTAAGCTGCATGTGTGCATGTGCGTGTGTCGGTGTGCATGCACACGGACACACAGGCACACCGACACACCGACACACCGACACACAGGCGGGACAATCATGCAAGCCCGGGACCATTTGTGACCATTCTTACTGCCTTGGGGGGGGAGCGGGGGCGTTTCTCCAGTTCGCCGCTTATTCTTCAAGAGAAAAGGGCCATGGAAAAGCCACCTGAAAGGACCGAAGAAGGACATGCCGTGGTACGCTCTGCCTTGCACTCTTGCGCGCCCTCGCCGTGGAGCCGAGAAGTGAGGATGCACGTGCGCGGATGCGGACGCACGCGCATGTGGATCACAGGCTCCCGACCGCCATCAGTCGCTCCTTCTTTCTTGGTGGTGGATGTGATACAAACACAACACACAGGCACGAGCACACCACAGAGGCTTCCCCCCCACCCCGCCTCGTACCAAATGGAGGAGGAGAATATAAGGGGAAGGGGAGGGGGAGCAAGACACGCCTGGCGTGCCTCTGGGTGGCCAGAGTCTCTGCCTCGACATCCATCTCTCCACTGCGTGCTTGGTATGTGGGAAGTGCGGCAAGCGATTGCTCTCGCTCGCGCGCGCTCTCTCTCTCTCTCTTTGTCTCTCGGTCGTCATCATCATCAGGCCCCCAGTCCTTGTGTGTGTCCCCGCGCCGTGCGGCGAGGAGAGAAGGAGGAAAGAAGGGCAGCGGGTATGCTTGTCGCCGGGTGCATGCTTGTTGCTCTGCTCTTCGCCGCACGTATGCGCAGAGAAGAGCGAAAGGTGATGAATGGCCCCAAAGGGGGCGAGTATTCACCGGGAGGAGAGCGTACTCCCCCTTGAGCCGACGCAGCACCAGCACTGAGGAGATGTGTGACCAATTGTCCAGGCAGTGGGACAAAGGGGCGGGAGGGAGAGAGAGAGAGAGAGAGAGCGAGGAGCAGGAGCGAGGGGCGCGCGCGCGCGCCAGCACTGCCGATGCAGATAGGCCCCATTGGGAGGGAGAGAAGAGGGCACCATAGTGTGTGACATGCTCCAACAAGGTGATCGAAGGATGGCGAGGGGAGGGGGATGGGCGCGCACGCGCGCCCCCTGCCCAATGTCACACAGCAGAGCGGTCGCTCAGCAAGGGGCCCTCTTCCATTGGGGAGAAGAACGGAAGCAGACGAGATTCCTCGGTGGACCGCCGTTCCTCCCCCTCCGAATGGCAGTGTGTTGATGGATGCAAGGAGAGGAAGAAAGAAAGATAGGGAGGGAGGGAGGCAGCAGGGGCAGCAGGACGACTGTGGAGGGGAAGGGGGAAGGGGGCAAGGCGAAGTGAGGCAGCCGATGGGAGATCACCCTGAACAGCGTGCGCGCACACGCGCACTATCCCCTGACGACTCTCCCCCCCCACGTGTGTGGCTTTGTGCAGGATGTGCAATGGTGGAGGAGGAGGGGGGGGGGCAAATGAAGGGGAGAGGAGGCATCTTCAGGAGGCGACAGGGCCTATGGGGCGCACGTAGGAGGAGGAGGAGGAGGAGGAGGAGGAGGGCATGGTCGAGGACGGGGCGCTAGACGCAGGCATGGGGGCAGGGACGGGAGCTGCAACGTGGTCGGCTGACAGACGAAGCAGGATCATCAAGACACGGGAGGAGGCGGTGTATGTCAGCGATGTGCCGGGCGTGGTGAGGGAGGACGGGGGGGGGGGGGGGAGGCGGAGGGAGAACGAACAGCGGCTCATAGTTTTATTATGCTATGGTCGAGGAGGAAGATGAAACCCGAAAGGGGAACGGGGCACCGGGCGCCAAGGGGGAAGACACAGACGGAGAAGCGTCAGAAATCGGGCGGAGGAGGCGGAGAGAACCGAAGAAGGAAGGCAGGAACGCGAGAAAGAGGCGGCAATGGACAAACCTTGGAGAAGAGGATGTAACAACAACAACTAAATCAAGCAAAGGGGTGAGGGCGATCCGCCTGGGTGGCCAGGCAGGAGGGCGGATCGTCAAAAAGGTCTGTTTCCCTCCCCCTACCTCGCCCCCCCCCCCCCCCCCCGGGCCGTGAGGCAAGCGTGTAACGGGCTGGCCCGCGCGAACAAGGCATGGGAACAAAATGCTCCCGCGCACGCGCGCACCCCCACCACAGACCCTCCCGCCCCCGCCCCCTCCCGCCTTGTGCCTCTGTATCGGCCCGGGGTGACAGCGAGCCGTCGGGCCAGCCACGAACCGCCGGGCCCCATGGCGCGCTGCTCAGAAGCCCCGGGGGGGGGGGGGGGGGGGGGGGGGGGGGGGGCACACACGGAAGTACCATGCTGCGCGGGCCGGCTACGCGTGAGCCCCTCCGAGCCAAAGAGTAAATAGGAGCCACCGGCGACTACATGCCCGGACACCAACCGCCAAGCTCTCGTTACCCGCACACCCCCCGACCGCGTTCACTGATGCGGCAGCATGAGCCCGGCCCCCGCTGAATCAGGGAGGGGTGGGGGGGGGGGGGGATAAAAAGTGATGCAAGAGTACCGACACAGGTCTTCCCCGCCTCAGCCCGACCACCGTGCCGAAAAAGCGAGGATATGAGGGCGCCGGCGTCCGGCGAGCCAACCCTGGAGTAGAATGATATGCTGGTATCACAGATTGGAAGAGGAGCAAACGGAAGACATACATGCCAGACAGCTCGCGGTAACAGCAGCAACAGCAGTAGCAGCAGCAGCCCAAGAGAAGACAGAAGACCACGGGCCCGCGAACAGGGATAGACAATGGACGCCAGCCGCAGAGGTTGCGGTCCGGAGGAAGGGACAGGCCGACAGGCGCCTTCAGAGCCCGGCCCGGCGGGATGAAAAAACACCGGAAGCGCCTGCAAAGAATCCGAAAGACACGCAAGACCAGGCTGGCGCCTGGCCTTCGGCGACTGGTGTCACTCATGCTCAAGAAGTGGAAAGCCCCCACCCTTCCAGAAGCCCCGAAACTGAGCAAGGGTTTGGCCTGGTATAGGCGGGCGAGGGTAACCGGAAACGGAGAGCAACAGTACTGATTTCGGGGCCACGCTGCCACCTCACGAGCTGGGTCATGTGTTATTTTCCCCGCCAAAACTGATTAACCGCCCGGCCTGCACTTGCCTCTTGCCCCCGCCCCCCCCCGCCCTCGGGCCAGAACATCAAGTCTTTCTCCTTGGGTCTGGGCGAGCATCGAGCTCGCCGTCGCGCCCCCCCCGGCACGTTCCCGAAGCCATCCCACGGGCGGTGCGGTGGGTCCTTCCGGCCCGCCGAGGGGTTTTGCCCCCCCCCCCCCCCCCCCCCCCCCCCCGCCTCCAGCGGCCGAGTTCAGGCTCTCATCGTTGGGACAGTCTTCCTCCCGCCCTCGTACAGGGCCGGTGGCAGCGGAAAGGCCACTGGCGGATGGCAAATGTTGCCCCTGGAGGCCATGCTGACGCGGGATACCGATTTTGATCCGCAAGGGGGCGGGGCGGGGGGTGACGGACAAGGAACAGCTTCTCAGGTTACTTCCTCCTGGCCCACTCATCATCCGTAATTCGACAGCACGCCGAGCTGGCATAGTTCACAGGTGGGGGGGGGGGGGGGGGGGGGAGGGAGATGGGGACGCGTGTCAGGGCCCGAAATCCCAATAATTAGCGGCACGGCTTGGAACTCCCTAGCCCACAACCACATGATAGCGCGCTTTCTTCCGCCCCTATCTCCCTCCCGGACGAGACCCGCCCCCCGCTTGCCCCCTCCCAGGTGGCCTGAGCATTTGGCCATGTCCCCTGGCAGGAATCCTGGGTTTTTTTCTGAGCTGCGAAGGCTTTTGCATGGAGGAGCTGTGGGTGAAGCACCAGCCCCGCCCCTTTTGATTGGAAGACCCATCCACCTTGGGCCGGCACCGGGATAGGCTGTGCGTGTGTGTGTGTGTGTGTGTGTGTGTGTGTGTGTGTGTGTGTGTGTGTGTGAGTGAGTGAGTGAGTGAGTGAGTGTATGCGCGAGTTGGCGCGGATGAGCGAACGAGGGAGAGGCATAGGGGGAGGAGAGCAAACTGCCAGATAACACAGGCCCTAGGGCTGCGGAAGCGGAATTTTGCATTCGTGGAGGGGGCCCACTTGCGAAAGAAAAGGTCCCATTGACTCTCCTTCGGAGAGGAGAGGCAACACCCCGCCTCCTTTCCCCTCCTCCCAACTCTGCACACTTTGCCTGCCTGTCCTCCTTCTTGCCTCCCCTCCTGTCTTGCTATTGCCTGGGTATTTTGCCCTCTTCGCTCTTCAAGTGACTCGGCCTTTCCTTCTGGGAAGAACGCAACCTGGCAGCTATCTCGAGGGAACAGCGCCAGCGCGCCTGCCCAACATCCACCTGTGGCTCCGGCGCATGCTGTCTCTGGGAGCCTGAGCGGGCAATTCTAATTGGTGCCTGCCCAAGAGGGGGAAGGGGGGGCGGGCGGGCGGGCGGGCGGGCGGGCGGGGGCCGAGACGGCAGGGCGAAGGCTTGACATTGCATGCTGACGCACTCGCGCTTTGGCTACGCTTACTGACCATGGCGTCGGCAAACACACTTGTTCGATTTGTTGTCGGTGGGTCGGGGGACGGGGAAAAACCGGGACCCCTCTCTGACGGATCAGCGAAGCAGTCGCCCGCGCATGAATTTCGCCATTAGCCGGATCGTTGGAGACAGTCTTACAAGGAGGACTTCTTCGGCATTTACCAGGACCTGACGGCCCTCAGCAACAATGATCGGCCTATTCATTCGCCGCCAGCGAATAGTCCTCCTGGTGTGGGTCTTGGTCGGCGTCCTGCTGATCCTCTTCCGAGGCTCCAAGGCCGAGGAGGAGGAAGACCGACGCGGGTCAGCAACCCACGAGCACGACCATGACATCCCGCCGGGCGTGGTCACCGGCGGCCATGTGCCACATGCCCGGGCTCAAGAGGACCAGCACCACCGCCACCGCCACCACCACCACCCCCATCACCATGATCAGGGCCGTGACCATGCCCACGGTTATGGGCGTCAGAACCAACACCACCAGCCACCGCCACAGGACCCGCCGGAGTACACCGAGGACTATGACCAGACCTATGCCGATGCGTCGGCCACTTCATCCTCCTCGGCGTCGGACTATTCCTCGAGCTACTACTACGACGCCGGGGCTGGCAGCCCGGCCGAGGAGCCCGCCTCGGCCGGCCATCGCACAGGCGGACATGCGCGAGGGGCTTCAGCCTCGCCGGCGATCACCTTGGAAAAGTATGCCGCCGGAGGGGTGGACCATTGGGGCGTCGAGCTTTTCTCCCTGGCCCATCCTGGCCAGGCGGTGGCCCGGCTGGAAAGCCTCGGCCTGTACCATGTGGTGTATGATTGCGATGAGAAGGCCCCGCGAAATGTGCCTTTCGACCCGGTGACCGGCGTGGCACCAGCCGACATCCGGCGAATCATCCGGTCTTCCGGCGGGGATATCGTCCGCAGCTGGGACAAGGCGTACCTGACTATCCTTCGGCAGGCTTTTGCCGCGGAAAGTTGGCGCATTTGCCTTGATGTACGTGCGGTGGGTTGGTGCGGGCAAGGGGCCGGGCGTACGCCTCGGGGGGGGGGGGGGGGCCTCCCACCGAAGGGCACTCGCTGAGCCGGCCTCGAGCAAGGGGGCAAGGGCACCACTCTCGCCCGGGGGAGCAGGAGGGCGGGGGGGGGGGGGGGGCGAGGACAAGGTTGCCCTAACCGCCGGAACTGACCCTGCTCGCTTTGTCCTCC